TATTTACTAATGCTAGCAGCCTGACGATTAAAAATAATTAATGTTGATTGGGAGTGTGAAGTTCCACTTTACGTTCTACTAAGCAAAGCTTTTGCCAACTATTCCTATCTGCATATAGAAACTTATATATCTCCCAAACACTCCAACCCATTCAGATGCATAAAGGTAGATGTATTGTATTTGATAAAATCACCAGTAATATGCTAAAATTGCACTTAAAGGTAACTATACTTTTTGAATAAAACTCTTATTCCTATCTTTTCCCTTATTTGTGAATCTTGGAAATACAATTTGAGACTTGTGACTTTTTACAGGCCAAGGGTTGTCGACTGTTACTGTACTCCAGTGCTCTTGTGCTCTTCTGCACATGTACTGCCCTTGACCCAAGAGAATATTGGCCACCTACCTCTTAAAATATACCTGTGACCACTTAGGGCAAAATAACATATTAACCTCTTTTTTACTCCTGGTCCCTTGGTACTTACCCTCCATTCGCTCCCCCCACTTCCCAGTTTACCTGCTGGAGCCAAGTAGGAAAGTTCTAGAGCCAAGTTAGAAGGCTCCATGTAATTTCCTAATCTGCCTGGTCAAACCTTACACAGGGCTAAGGACCCTGCCCCCAAATCCACAAAACAGCACTCAGGCCTATCAATTGGCTGCCTTGGGTACTCACTGCTGTATTTTAGGAGGAAAAGAAAAGAGTCAGATACTTCCCTATACCTAGATGTAGCAGACATTTCAACCTGAAGGGGCGGTGGAGGATCATGGGCAAAATACAAGTTCACTTTAATTTTGGGGCATGTGCCTAAGAGAGCAATTGTTTTGCCAACATATGCACATCTGTTTTTAGAGAGCCTAGAGCATGAACACTACCTGCCACCCTTGGCATTGAAAATTGAAAATAGGTCGGCACAGTGGCTTAGTGGTTAGCACGTCTGCCTTGCAGTAAATGCGGCATGGGTTTGATTCCCAACCATGGCACCTCCTGCATAGAGTTAGCATATTCTCCCTGTTCTTGCGTGGGTTTCCTCTGGGTACTCCGGTTTCCTCCCACACTCCAAAGACATGCTGGTAGGTTAATTGGCTCCTGTCTAAATTGGCCCTAATATGTGTATGAATTAGGGACTTTAGATTGTACACCCCTTGAGGGTTAGGGACTAATGTGAATGTACAATATATACAGTATGTAAAGCACTGTGTAAATTGATGGCGCTATATAAGTACCTGAAATAAATAAATACATTTTTTTTTTTTTTTTTTTTTTAATTGGGAGGGTGGTAAAAGTTTTGTTTAATAATTGCACTTACATTTTTAAAAACATAGTATGTAGCATATATGAATATAGTATATCTTCCTCTTTTATCCATTTTCTTGTGTAGTAGTGTAAGTAGTCGAACATTACTAAGCAAGGTGTTGATGCAAGTATACTTGAGCCAACACTAAAAAAAAAAGTTTTAATTACATTCTTTCCATTGTAATCAATGTAAGCAGCTTTGTTTTTGCATTCCCAAACATATAAATTCCTGTAAATGCGTAATTCCTAATCCCTAGGGGAAAGTCACATGCCTAACATTATTCTAATTTAATTAAAAGTATGTCACATATATTACAATCTGCCGGTTTCAGTTTGTGATTTTGTACGTTTATTTAAACTGTAAATGCTTTGTATATGGGAGAGAAGGTAGCAACCTCTTTTGCACTCATTCTAGCTAAATAATGAAAATGCAAACCAGATAGATCTGTCAGTTTGCATTTTGAAACAGAAGCAACAAGATTGCATAGTAAGCATGTAGTATATAGCCAACAGGCAGCTTGTGGAAAGTTTGCAGACTTCATTTGCATAATATGGATTTAATCTACTTGAATATAAAATATTTATGATGACAACTTATTCTGGGCCCCAGTTATCCCCAAGACAAAGCTGGCAAGCAGCGGTATGTGCTGCATGCTGAACTCTATGGATTGCACACGTCCAACCTTCACTGTTGAGCTCCAGGAGGGCAGGAAGACTGCTGCCACAGGTGTGAGTTTAATGAACAACGTAGTAAAAAATGAGGTTGTGGTCAGAGGGAAGGAAATCCCCCAGACGTGGCATGAAGTCCCATTAATTCAAGAGGATGTTTTCCTTTCAGCTAACCATAGGAAAGCAGGGCATTATCAGGCCTGCTCAAAAGACTGCTGAGTTTTACAAATAACCACACCTGTGGCTGCAGAAATCTATACAGTTTTGTTCCTTTTGCTTTCTCAAGTTTGCTGTTTTCCATTGAGCCTCCCCAGAAGAAAAAAAGCTTATTTGGGTGAACGCTTTCTCTGTATTGCATTTTCACTAGATCATGTCGAGTGGAACAAGTGCATTAATCCCCTCAGTATGAGGAAAGTAGAAAACATGGGAAGTTCAACTAGCAACAAAAAGGATACAAGGCCCACCATGAATGCCACTTTCACTTTTATCACAAAGCCACAGACTCTCGTTCATATACTTTTGTATTTTGTCAGGCCTACCTACAACAACAGTTTATTCAGTTAGTAATGTTTTCATAAGATATTGTCTACACCTTTCTTTTATTTCAATTTTCTGTAATTTAGGGCTCTATACAGCACAGAAATAGTATAATGGCTACAGTTGTTGACTGGGATTATTATACAACTGCAAGTGGAATCTGTTTAACCCCAGTGGACCAAAAGCTTCTTATCTACCATCAGAATTCAGCGTTTCTGTGTTTAAATGTCTCACGCTCCTCACATGCTTGATTTACCCTGGAGCAGGTTTCTAATCCTAAGAAAAGAAAGGCAGGCCTCCATGCCAGACAGGGGATAAATCTCAGTGCAAGACAGAGATGTAGAAATCACAACCTTCCATAAATCAAGTCACCATTAGCGCAAGTGGGAGGTGGCACAAGGGCCTCTATCAGGAGAGTGTAGTTTCCTGCCTGCAATCAGCAGGGTGGAATCCTCCTGAGAACCGTGATTATAATATATGCCTTAATCCTCATGTTATTCCCCAAGCATTAAATGTATGGAACACTCCTTCTTTCTCAATTACACTGCCTTGGCTAACTGTAAAAAGTCTTCAGTATTGTTCAAAGTGGCTATTGCACTAAGGTCAGTAGAGTGATCCCACTGCTGTCTGGTCTGATTAGGAGAGTGTTTTCTCAGCATCCACCACATAGAGAAGGCAGTTGTGGGAGCTGATGAAGTTAATCACTTGGGAGTAGACAACATATTTTAAACAGGCTTGGTGTTAGTTTGGAAAAAGTATCCAAGGGACTCCTATTCACAATGTGCTTGAAAAATCCAAAACAAGGTTAAAAGATGAGGGCAATGTGGGAATTGTATTACCAGAAGCATTTGACTGCATTGAGTGCACCCGCAGATTCTAGCAAAGCGGTAGTTTCTTGACACATGTTTTCTGTCCTTTTTGGAGAAGTTGGTTTGTCTGTTTTCATTTACCTTTTTCACCTCCTCTAGTTATCATACCCTTTGTCACATACCACAGGTGCCGTTTTAAAGGTAATCTTCTCAAGCATCTTGATCTGCTTTCACGCCTGTTGGTTACCTACAGACACTGTAGCGTCTGCAGGACGTTAAAGTTGATCATTCTTGGAGTATGTGCTTTGATATTACATTGTTTTGAGCAAGAGTTTGTGTACACGCACCCGTTCTATCTGGGTGGCATTGTATTTTATGTATTCACAACCAGTGAATGGGTCAAAGAACAGGAGCGTGCCCTGGAGACTTACCCACATTGAAAAAAAAAAGCTTACATCTTATGTCATAAACATTCAAAGTCTTGTCACTTGTAGGAAAATATAATGCCCTAGTAGTGCTTTGGGTACCTCCCTACACTACAAACAATATTTTCCACCATTTCTGGTGTCTGCTGGAGGAGCAAATACATATAAAGAGTTTCATCTTCCCATTTGTTGGTGCTGTCCAAAGTTGCAGCCATTCCCCAGAAGTTGCCCTACTGTCAGTGTCAGTGCTGGCATATTAAAATCTTAGGTTTTTTACCACTCGTACAGTAGTATTATCACATTGAAAATCGTCTGCACCGCTATGAGCATAGACACTATAAATGTAGAATGTAAGTTTAAAATATTATAGTATCTCCCCACATACAGAGCTCTACCTCTAAACAAATTCTGATGAAAACTTTTATTTTTTAGAATTTCAAGGTATTATTATTTTTTTCTTAAATCTTCTCCTTCTTTCATTTACTTATTTTATCTTTTACCTTTCCAGATTTTTTTGCTACTACCTGTTGAATACCAACACAATACCAAGAATTGCTCATGCCAAAGTTAGAGGGAGGTAGTGATTGGTAGCGTATTGGGCATCAGTTTTCAGAAATGTTTTTCCTAGGACAAGTCCAGAAAGCATGATATAAGTCTGCAGAAGCATGGTCACATTTAAGGTATTCAGGTGCTTGGCACTGTGTTAACCACTTGCCTACCAGGCACTTATACCCCCTTATTTACCAGGCCAATTTTCAGCTTTCAGCGCTGCCGCACTTTGATTGGCAATTGCGCGGTCATGCAACATTGTACCCATATGAAATTTTGATCATTTTTTTCTCACAAATAGAGCTTTCTTTTGGTGGTATTTAATCGCCACTGGGCGCTTTACTTTTTTCGCTATAAATAAAAAAAGTGCAAAAAAATTTGAAAAAAAAAAAAAGTTTCTTTGTTTCTATTATAAAATTTTTCAAACAGTAATTTTTCTCCTTCACTGATGTGCGTTGATGAGGCAGCACTGATGGGCACTGATAGGCGGCACTGATGGGCACTGATAGGCAGCACTAAAGGGCACTGATAGGCAGTACTAATGAGGTGGCACGGATAGCCGGCACTGATAGACAGCACTAATGAGGTGTCAAGGATAGGCGGCACTAATATGCAGCACTGATAGGCGGCACGGATAGGTGACACTGATGATGGGTACTGATAGACGGCACTGACTGGCATCACTGCTGGGCACTGACTGGCGGCACTGACTGGCAGCACTGCTGGGCTGCACTGCTGGGTGGCACTGGTGGGCAGCACTGGTGGGTGGGCACAGGTGGGTGGCACTGGTGGGCACAGGTGGGTGGGCACAGGTGGGTGGCACTGCTGGGCACAGGAAGGTGGCACTTCTGGGCACAGGTAGGTGGCACTTCTGGGCACAGGTGTGTGACATTGCAGAGTGGCACAGGTGGGTGCACTGCTGGGCACAGGAGGGTGCACTGCTGGGCACAGGTGGGTGATCTGCTGGGCACAGGTGGGCGGAGCTAGTGGGAGCACTGCTGGGCACAGGTGGGCGGAACTTGCGGGTGGCACTGCTGGGCACCGATCATCAGAGCACTGATCATCAGTGCCCTGATGATCGGTGCCGATCCCCGCTCTGACAACTGCCGGTTCTCGGCAGTACTTTCCTCACGATCTGACAGCGTGAGGAAAGTGCAGCCGAGAACCGGCACTTGCATTTCCCTCTGATCAGCATGTCATTGAACACCGCTGATCACGTGGTAAAAGGCCGCTGTGATTGGCCTTTTACCACATCATGTGATCAGCTGTGTCCGTAGGACACAGCGATCACGGAGATCGCCGGGTGCGCACCCCCTGGGGCGCGCACCCCCTGGGGCGCGCAGGAGAGTGCGTTTTGGGAGGACGTTATATGACGTCCACTCAGAACTGGCCGGCCGCAGTGCAGCCGTCATTCGGCTATCTGCGGTCGGCAACTAGATAAATTCTGAGCATTGTTTCCCTAAAAGAAGAGGAGGTGCTCATGCTCTACTCCAGATTAATATAGTTAATAATATTGGTTATTAATTTTGTATAAAAATTAAACCATTTAAAAAGGCTTGAAGAATGTTAAGTATGGTCCAAATAAGGTCTATAGCAATGAGATGGTATGCTTAGGTAGATTGGGTTCTTGTAACATTTGGTCCAAAGGGTTCACCCAGTCGGTGGGTGGGAGATTTTTTAAGGATGCAAGAAATGTCGGTGTGCATTTTATAAGAATGTGGAATTTAGTAAAGGATAGATTTTAAATGCTGCTCCAAATGTAAGCAGTTTTTGGGTGGAGGTGTTTGTAACAGATTTCACAGTGGAAAGTTGTTGATGTGAACAACCATTAAATACTTTATTTCTGGAGGGATGGAAAAAGTCAAGATTTCCCCAAAAAGGAAGAATAAAGAGTAATAGCTGTTCAACTGATATTTATTTCGAATTCTGTGCCAGATAGTCCAGCAAAAATGAAGATGGGGGTTAGAAGTAACCTCTTGGAGCAAAATCCAAAATTTTTTTTTCAAATGTAACATATACAAGAGCCTTAAGTTTTGGTGTGGTAATTTTGTCCAAGTCAGAATCCGTGTGGATTCTGAAACCATAAATCCAGTTGCAAAGATATCTGGTAGTTGTTGCTGGATTATATAGATCAATGTCAAGAAATTTTTGACCCAAAAGCAGGGAGTGTCTGAGCAAGGACCCTTATGGCAAGGTCAAGAGGTGTTGCAGGTTTATAAAGATTGAAATGAAATTTGAAATGGCATTAATATATTGCAAATTATATGAGGTTTTAGTGATTGGGTGTATTTTAGAGGTTAATCCACTTATGTGGATAAAAAAAATAGCAGCTATAAAAAAATATATAGCATATATAATTGTGACACAAGTCTGCAGCGCTATAATTTTCTATAAAGCTGAATAAAATATGGCAAACTGGAGGCATTCTATACACAGATGGTGTATGGAGCACCCCCTAGAAATGTAATTTCCTACTTTTGTGATTGGCTCACTGATTTTCCCAGAAGTTAGATTTTGGGCATCCCCTGCAACAAAACTTTTTGGTGATATACTCCCAACGGGAAATTGTGTCTACAGGAATGCAAACCCTGCAACTTTCCTCATTAGATGCCTGCAAGTGTAGCAGCTGATTGATAATTATAAAACCACTCTCATTCTCCTTCACTTTGCACAAGGACATAAACAAACGTGTTTCTCCAGAATAACAAAAGTTTCTAAAAATCCTTCCAATGTACATTGATCACCCAGAGGGGAATGTTTTTTTTTTTTTTTCAACAAAAGTGGAGTTACTCTTTAGAACAATTGCATTGTAATATTATACTTAAGATAGCTGGAACAGGCTAGTCCAGTCTATTGCAAGTACCAATAAAGTAAAGTTAAAGGAAATCTATGGTCACAGCATTCATATTTTATAATGCCAGCATTGTAGTAGCAACACAAACGATAATTATTTTTGACAGTCCAATATAAAATTACTTGATTTTTACTTTACATTTCTAAGGACTACCTTACTGCCTGCAAGCAGTGATTCCTGTTCTGACTCGGCCTCATGAAACTCACCACAGGGTACAGTGAATATGTGTCACAGAATTCAAGGCAGTAAATGTGTGGGGTCTTCACAAAGTACTGTATGTTTAGTACACATGGACGATCCTTCTGCTCAGTGAGGAATCTATCCATTGATCCCCGCTGTGCAGGCGGATGACAGGTTTATGTCCGCCTTGCTTGCAGGGACGCTGTTAGACATCATGGGACCCTGTACAGCCAAACTGACGGGGTCCCCTTTGACCCCACCCTCGACTAAACCCTGGTCCCGATTCAAAACAAAATGCAGTTTTTTCTTCAAGGGTTATATAATAAAATGAAATAAGCATACAAATATGAAGCATAATGCAACTTAAGCAGCTGCCTTAGGGCACTGGGCAGGGGGCAGTAAAATTTGAATACCAAGCCACTTGCTGAGGATTCAGATTTTCTATAATACCAGTCTTCTGTTCCCCCCCAGCATGCAAACTTAATCTCCCATGCTGCTCCCAGTAGGTAGGAAGGTGCAGCATGGAAGTTTTAGTTTGCCTACACAAGGCTGCTGTCAGAGAGAGGAGAGAACAGTAACTGGCAGGCAGGGTAGTCTGCATGTCCTGCTATCAGAGTAGATCTGCCAGGATACAGAGAAGGGCGGAGTGGTGGACCAATCCCAGGTTTGTGCAGGGAGTGCACGAGGGACACTGTCAGGCAGGCTCCTGTGTTGTCAGGAATGGTGGTGTGCGCCCAGCTGTGCGGGGGTGGGTGGAGCCAGGGGGTGCCAGTGTGTGGCCCCATAGAGGAGAAGGAAGAAGAGGACAAGATCAGGGTGGAGGAGCCTTACCTCCGCTCTTTGCTGCAGTCAGAGATCTTCTCCTGCCTGGGAAACAGTACCCCTCCTGGCACCAGATCCTCTACACCAACACCATCTGGAGGAGCTGCTGCAGGATAGATGAGATATGAGAGGATTGGCCATTCCTAAGATGTGTGTGATTAGAGTGACACTGCCCCTCTCCTGTCATGCTGCCCCCCAAATCACACTGCAGTGGGACAGGTGAGGGGCAGCGGAACAGGTAAGAGGGCAGTGCGACAAGTGGGGCACAGTGGGACAGGAGAGGGGACAATCAGACAGGAGGGGGGACAGCAGGACAGGAGGGAGGACAGGTGGGGCACAGCAGGACAGGAGGGGGGACAGGAAGGGTGCATCTGGATAGAAAGGAGGCAGTGGGACAGGAAGGGAACAGGTGGGGGGCAGTGGGACAGGTGGGGCACAGCGGGACAGGAGGGGGGACAGGTGGGGCACAGCGGGACAGGAAGGGGGCAGTCGGACAGGTGGGGCACAATGGGACAGGAGGGGGGACAGGTGGGGCACAGCGGGACAGGAGGGGGGACAGGGTGGCAGTGGGACAGGAGGGATGACAGGAAGGGTACAGCTGGATAGAAAGGAGGCAGTGGGACAGGAAGGGGACAGGTGGGGGGCAGTGGGACAGGTGGGGCACAGTGGGACAGGAGGGGGGACAGATGGGGGGCAGTGGGACAGATGGGGCACAGAGGGACAGGAGGGGGGACAGGTGGAGGGCAGTGGGACAGGAAGGGGGAAGCAGGACAGGAAGGGGCAGTGGGACAGGTGGGGCACAATGGGACAGGAGGGGGGACAGGTGGGGCACAGCGGGACAGGAAGGGGGCAGCGGGACAAGAAGGGGGCAGTGGGACAGGAAGGGGGAAGTTGGACAGGTGGGTGGCAGTGGGACAGGTGGGGCACAGCGGGACAGGAGGGGGGACAGGTGGGGGGCAGTGGGACAGATGGGGGAAGCAGGACAGGAAGGGGGCAGTGGGACAGGTAGGGCACAATGGGACAGGAGGGGGGACAGGTGGGGCACAGCGGGACAGGAGGGGGGACAGGTGGAGGGCAGTGGGACAGGAAGGGGGAAGTGGGACAGGAAGGGGGCAGTGGGACAGTTAGGGCAAAATGGGACAGGAGGGGGGACAGGTGGGGCACAGCGGGACAGAAAGGGGGCAGCGGGACAGGAAGGGGGCAGTGGGACAGGTGGGGCACAGCGGGACAGGAGGGGGGATAGGGTGGCAGTGGGACAGGTGGGGCACAGCAGGACAGGAGGGGGGATAGAGTGGCAGTGGGACAGGTGGGGCACAGTGGAACAGAAGGGGAGCAGTGGGACAGGTGGGGCACAGCCACCTCTCCATAGAGGACAGTGGAGGGTCCAATCTGGTCCGTGAAAGGAGCCTTACAGACATCATGATTGCTCAGATTAATAGGAGTAGGCTAGAAATAGTTGGAATACAATGTGGAAGTTAATGTATGATTTTACATTTTGACCATAGATACACATTACATAACTGCATATAGATGACCAGGTAGTCCAATAGATCCTTTCTGTATATCTGTAAAAGAATTTAGATATTAATTTAATCATTGCACTTTACTGTGCACAAACAAAACAATGTGCAGTCTTTATATTTTAGCATTCTATTGTATTCTTTTTATTTTAGTTTCCCATAGTTAGAAGTTACATAGGGAGTTATCCCGATAAAAGGGAAAGATAAGCCATCCTGCATTTTCCAAGGAACACGTTAAATGCGTGTGAAAAGTCATTATGTGTAAGTTCCATTTGAATATGTAGATACAGATCATGCCATTTACTATGCAAAGTCTACAAAACAATAAAATAAAACAATTGTGTAACACTATTAAAAAGACAATCTGTATTATCTTGTGTAGATTGTGAATTATCAAGTGAAGCAGGATATGGCAATTTGTTTGAAACTGTCTCTAATAATATATTAGGATAACACAGGGGCGGACTGACCATTTGGAAACTCGGGCACTGCCCGAGGGCCCGGGGTCAGTAGGGGGCCCCATGAGATGCCCCTGGTACCTTTTTCATACACTTTTTTGAGTTTGGGCAAGGACACAGGGGCCCCATGATCCCCTATTGCTCGGGGGCCCCATGAGTTGTCAGTCCGCTCCTGGGATAACATATGTTAGCGAATCCCTTAAAAATATCTTTTTTTTTCACATCACTTTAAAAAATTATACTTTTGCACAGTTGTAAAGCTTGGTACATGCACAGGCAGCTCATCTGGGTGTTGCTTTTACAAAATGTAAGAAAAGAAATCTGTCATTCTGTTTAAACAAGTGACCTAAGGAATATAATCCGCCTCTTTTTTAGGAAAAAAATCAGAAAAAGAAAGTGCAGGTGTTGCTGGATACCAAGATCTATTTACTTACCTGTCACAGACAGACAAATCCCCAACAGCACCTCACTGGAAGCTGGAAGTGGTATTAAACGCAACACCAAAAATGGATTATATTGCAGCCTACCAATCATTTTAGTCAAATAAATGTTTATTCAAGACATTTTCAGAGTGTGACAAAAAATAAGACAACAGTTCTATATACAAGACAATCGATCAATAGACAATAGAAAGCACATTTGTACCTGTGAATATAGTGCTGGGAATAGAAGCCCATGCCTTTAACAATGAAATTACTACAGTCATGCATAAATGAATCATTTTAAGAAAAAACAAAAAAAGGAAATAAGAAAAATAAAGAAAGTTAAACTAAACAATACCAAAAAGAGATGTGACATACAGCCAGGCTACTATGTTTTGGAAGTAATCACTTAAAGTGATTCTAAGTCTAGGTTCACACCTATTCAGGTTGAGTTTGAGTCATTTCTGCATTGTGTTTTTTGTTGTGTTTTTGATGCGTTTTGCTTTTTTTTTTTTTTTTTTCTTGTTGCTAGGCAGATTTAAAATGCTAAACACATAAAAAATGCATCGGAAATATGGCAAAAACACAGCAAAAACACAATACATGCTTTTCGGCAGCGTTCCCATTGAAATCTATATAACCAAAAAACACCATGTTTTGCATTAAAAAAAGTCCCTGACCCTTTCCAAAAAATGCATCAGGTGAAAACGCAGAGATGTGAACCTGTCCCATAGGAAGTCATGTTAAATGGACTGTACTGCGTTTCTGCAAAACGCAGGAGAAAATGCTTAGGTGTAAACCTAGGGTTAAGGTTAATTTGTTTTTGTAAAATAGCAAACGTCTTTAATAAAAAAGATATTTAAAAAAAAAAAATAAATAAAGATGTCATACTTACCTGCTGTGTGCAGTGGTTTTGCACAGAACAGCCTGGATCCTCCTCTTCTCGGGTCCGCCGCAGGCTCTCCTAGCTTGTTATGCAGTCACCCGCTGCTCTGTGTGTCCATTCACACACAGAGCTGTGCCTTGGCCCTGCTCCCTCTCTCTCCTCATTGGCTGAGTGGCTGTGATTGACACCAGCGGGAGCCGATGGACCACACTTGCTGTCTCAGCCAATGAGGAGGCAGAGACCCGGGACAGCCGAGGCTGTCATTCACATCAGTGAATCACGATGAGGCTTTAGGTAAGTATCGAGGGGGCTGGGGGCACAGCTGCACACAGAAGGTTTTTTACCTTCATACATAGAATGCATAAAGGTAAAAAACCTTCAGCCTTTACAACCACTTTAAGTGAAGGTATACAGCCTGCCAGAAATAAGTACTAATTGGGTGGGGGGTTTGAGGGGGATATTGGAAAGGGGAAAAAAAAAGGAGAAGGACTAATTCGTCACTGATATAAGTCTAGGAAGCCCCTGGGAGGGGGGGAGGGGGTCAAGTACTCATAGGTGCTCAAAAAGAAACTAAAGGGAAAAAAAAATGTGCAGCTTACCAATAACTTGATGTGTTGTCTGCATTGATGAGACACAACTCTGAATGATTACAGGAGTCAAAGCAGACAGCAGCATTATCCGTCTGGGAGAAGGGTAGTGTTTGATGTACTAGCAGATTTAAATACAAGAAAACAAATTAAAGCCAAACTCTAGCTAACACTTTATAAGTGGTTACAGCAAAGTTTTTTTTTCCATTTGGTATAAAAATTTTACATGATTAAATAAAAGCTGGTCATTGTAAGCACCCCTGCCAGTGGTAATTGGTCTGTCTCATCATGTAAACTGATAAATTCTGCTGGAGCGCTTGTGCTTCTGAAAAACAATAGATGTACTGGCCGGATCACCATATTAAAATAGAAGAACGAAAACTTAAAAATGTAAACGATTGCAGCTGTCACATCTAAGAAATGGTAAGCTACAATATAATAAATGTTTGCTTTTGGTTTTAATACTGATTTCAGTGGATTGAAGCTCAAGTGATCGACACTTATGTTGCAGGTAAAGGTGAGTAACAGATAGGGATAATTTGGGGTTAGGTTTATATCTGAGGGTAAAACCCATGGTTAGTTTGATGTCTCCTACATTTGGCCAGTAGACCACAACAGTAAATTGACAACAGTCAATAAAATAAAAAGAAATCACTACATTACACCAATCAGATGTCTGCATTTCCAGTGCTGAAGTACAGTAGATGACCGTTAGAGGATGGCTGGTGGGTGGATAAATGCTTTAACTGTGATTCTTACATCAGGCTAAATACAAACTTGTTACAAATGTACATCATATCATGTTTTTCCTCTGTCACGTTTAATAAATAGCAATTTTCCTTCTGTAAGTGTGATTGCAGATATCTTGATGTTTGCAAGCAACTTTTCCTACTCGAGCATCGCTTTTGACAGCTGGGTGCGGATTGAGCTGTGAAAACTAAAGGCATCCCAAAATTGTAATATCGAGCACATTTACCCATCAATAAGGAACCGTTATCATGCAGAGATTTTCCAACTTGGTGAAACAAAATTGAGAATAGACTGTTCATTGATTTATACCACAACAGTTGAGGTCGTACCATTATACAATACCCTGGAAACAGCTCATTGATTAGAGATCTGTGGGAGAGGAATGCTGGTGCTGCCTCAGTACAGAAGGTGTTGATAGGACAGGCAATAAATAATGATTCTGCCTTTGTCCTTTTGGCTTTTGCTTCCCTTGGAAAGCAGATGGACTGCAGCAGATCAGTGGGCCATGTTATGTCAGACCCTGCTATTAGTAAGGAAAAGCCAGTGATTGAATAAAAGGTCTTGCAAACCAACTCATTGCCTTTAGCCTGTATGCTCATGGTAGGTCAGTTCCCACCATCAATAAGGGATTCCTGCCAAGAATAGCTCAGTTGTCTCAACATAAAAATCCTTTGGAGACCTTCATGTCTATTCTACACCTCAGTGCTTCTTATATACCACCTACATGTTTTCTTTTTAAACATACCTTTTTGTATATCTGTGAAATTGTTTGACAACTAATATACAACTTCTTTTTCTGCAAAAATGAGAGTTGTGCTGTGCTTTACAAATTACTATATCCAACTTATACTGTTGCCTATAGAAACTAATCATCTTCTCACTTTCTTGTTTTCAGTGTAGGTATAAAATTAATGAGAGCAGCTGATTGGCTGGTAACAAAATTACAGTTTAAATATTTCTTACAGTTTTATTCAATATTTATTTTATACTCTTCCACAGTCCACGACATTGGCATTCATCCACCTGACTAAATCAAGCTGCTATTCCTAAAACATCCTGTGTTAATGTAATGCCCTCCAGATTAGTTAGATAACAGTTTGTTTTATTTTTCTAGGCAGAGGCGTAGCAGCCTAGGATGAGTCAGCCTCTGAGTGAGACAGGAGTTTACCTCAGGACAGGCTGGGAGGCCGTAACAGGTCAGGGCTTCTGGAGCCCTCCCACCCTTCCAGAAACTTAGAGAAATTTCTGGAAGGGGGGTGAAGGAAACAAAGATCTGCATGTTTGAGGGACCCTGGTCAATCCCCTGGCAGGAGGCTGAGCATGGTGTCCAGGG